GCTCCGCGCTTTGCGCCCTCAGAAGTCTTGCGCGCAATTGAGACAGCCGCGCAACGTGCTTCCACGATCTGTTTTCTCATTCTTTTTTCTCGCCGCTCTTCGTCTTTCGATCGTAGAGCCCGTGGACATTAACAGCAGCAGATGCAATTAGAGAGTGCGCGAATAGACGAAGAAATCGCGTAGTTAGAAACAGGCAGCAGTGTCTCTTCCTCACGTCCGGACGAAAGTTCCGGACACGTATTCGATTATCGCAATTGAAACCCAAGAGGAAGTAGCGACGATGCCACTTTGTGCTCGCATTAATATCAAGTAACGTGCGGGATGCGCGGTATATCGATTACAAATATAGAGACCTCCTCTCCCTTTCTATCAAGTAGGTACTAGTGTATATAGTCGCTATACATATACTAACGCCACTTTTATACCCGATATTCCTGGATCGCTTAAATTTTCTAGTCATTAGGAGGTATAGCTTGCTCTCCGCTTTTCAATTTTATTTCTCGGACGCTGAAAGCATGCTCGTGACTCGTCCAAAAAAAAAAAAAAAAAAAAAAAACGTACTTGTGTATGTATTTGTTCGAAATGCCGATGGAGCAAGAGCCGGGTCTGCTTGAAACAGTCCGAGAATTGACATTGGGAGAATTGATATCTGTCAGAGATTGTTTCAAATGGATCCCCAACTTTCGAATGTGCTCCGTTCTATGTGTGATATTGTCCCGCGTCCGTTTGTTCTGTGGAAGTGTCGATTAATCAATGACATCACAAGGGATCGTAGAGAGCTTGTCTTTCGGGATCGGTTGAAGGACCGCGCTGGGACCTTGTTTGTCTTTGGGATAAGAGTGTTGCTTTTTTTTCTATCGTTGAGAGTGGACAAATCTGTGTGTGCCGTCGAAGGTTTGAAGGAATGTGAGATTTGCTAATAACAATCCCTGACAATGAGGAGCCGCCCATCTTCCCTGGAGGGGGAGAGGGGAAAGGCACGTCGCAGAGTCGTGTATGTATGATATTTGATTAAAACATTACAGGCAGCGAAGAGAACGTGCTTTCATATGAAGCCGTGCAGCAGCTCACGATACAGTACACGCGTCCCGTGATCGTTCTCGGACCGCTCAAGGATCGCATCAACGACGATCTCATCTCCGAGTTCCCTGATAAATTCGGCAGTTGTGTACCACGTGAGTTGTCCGATATATAAATGACAGATATGATTTTTGTTTATCGCTGATACACAGAATTATTCCGACAGATTTGTATCAATCTTTTTGTCTGCAGATACAACAAGGAGTAGAAGAGAATATGAAGTGGACGGACGAGATTATCACTTTGTGGCCTCGAGGGAACAAATGGAGAGAGATATACAGAATCATTTGTTTATAGAGGCCGGACAGTATAACGACAATCTTTACGGAACGTCCGTTGCATCTGTGCGAGAAGTAGCTGAAAAAGTATGTATAATGTTATTCATATAGAATTGCCTTTTTTCATCGTGAAATATTATTTGCGTTAAAAATACATAATATTATGTACATCAATATAAAAGAAATTACGAAAAATTTGCAATTTTTCTTTCAGGGCAAGCATTGTATTCTTGATGTGAGTGGAAATGCTATCAAGAGGTTACAAGTAGCTCAACTCTATCCTATTGCCATCTTTATCAAACCGAAATCGGTCGAATCCGTTATGTGAGTTTAATAATTATCGATCGATCTTTAATACTAAATTTCATTATTTTTTATTTAATTAAAATTTTTATGTTTATAATTTTGCAGGGAGATGAATAAGAGAATGACCGAGGAGCAAGCAAAGAAAACGTACGAACGTGCTCTAAAGATGGAACAAGAATTTGGTGAATACTTTACTGGTACGTCATTTTTAACGTTTTCTATTAAATTTGATCTTAAAAATTAAATCCGATTGTATTTTAATATCATTGCATTAATTTTTGATTATAAAAAAAAGTCCTTTCATATATAACATGTTAAACGATGTAGCAATTATAATCGAAATAATAATCAATCCAAAATTAATTAAAATATAATGAAAGATATGTTATATTTGATCTAATGATTTAAGTATTCTCAACACGCAAATGAATCGCTATACTCTGTTCTCAGCCGTCGTCCAGGGGGACACTCCCGAAGAGATCTACGGAAAAGTGAAGGAAGTCATTTCCGAGCAATCAGGACCGAACATCTGGGTTCCATGCAGGGACCAGCAACTGTGACGTCCTGCCCCCCACGCTCAGCATGGGCCCAACGCTTGGACCCTGCCACCGAGGCGTCAAGCTTAATTATTCACGATAAATACGATTAAGTAACGCTCTAACGCCGCCCTTTCCCCATGCCTCCCTCTCTCCCTTCAATATCCCATCAATTATTCATGTAGCACAAAGTCCCTACTTAAGGCGCGCAATGCGACGTAAACCGCCGCAAATCATTTAAGCCGAGAGAATACTTAAGTAGCGAGATACACATGATATGATCCCAACTACTTTCCCGCGAAAAATTGATAAATCTAAAGTCAGTCGGGACGCGTATGATTTATTCTTTCCTTAGTTCGAAATCTAGTGGAAAATCGTCGAGGGAAACGAGGGGACTGGGCACTCGTACGCGTGCTGTTCACGTTGAATTTTATCGCGACCGACATTTTCAATAAAAAAAGAAAGTAACGGAAAGAAATTCGTAATTTTTATCATATGACCGTCGATTATTTGTGTGTGATCGTCTTTACTTTTATTAATTAACCTCGCGAACTAGAGGCATTGTACAATTGCTCGAGAGACTTACAAGATACGCCGAGATCGAATTAGCAGGCAACTCGGAGGAATTTCTTCGAATTGGAGAACTCGACCGAAATAATTATCGACTGCGAAATGAGCGCGTATTAGGTCATACTCTCGAGCACAGTATTTTTTAATGTACTTAAGCGCAGTTTTTAACGCGCCGAGAACTCTTCGAGTTCGCTCAACGAGTTTGACAAAGCAGGAGAGACGCGGCTAGGAGAGAAAATTATAGCCCCAGCGACGTTGTGTATGTGTTAACGCGAACCTCACGATTATAACAGAATACAGAAAAAATGCAGAAAAAAAAGAGAAAAGAAACTTCACAGGACAAATCTTTAGCTGCTAGATACACATAGCGATATATAATGTTTTGTACAGCTAGATAACTAAGCCAGTAACTGGGTTATGTGCAACATTATATTTGCGAAATGGGCGATGCGAAAAATGAGAAAAAAAGAGAGAAGAGCAAAAAACACTATTGTAATTTAAATATCATTACTAAATTATTACTATATGATAGTAGGTATGTGTATTATTGTAAATACATATTATACTCGCGCATGTAATATCGAGACGGAGAGACGTAACAGGCGGAGAAAAGGGATTGAAGAAAGTAAAGGGAAGAAGGAAAGAGAGAGAAGAAGAAGCATGGCGACTTTTCTTCATATGCAGCTCAGCTACACGATATCATTCAATATCGTAACGAAGTGATGAATTTTCGCGCCCATAGTCGCGTTCTCGTAAAAATTTTTGGCGCGAGCGTAGGTTTATGCCGCTCCTTTGTATCTTAAGGTATAGTTCTTGGCACGGGATCAGTCGCTGATCGAACGTGGGAGATTAAACTTGCACGAGTTTTCATCGGAACCGATGCAATTGGCAAAAAGACAGAAAGAGGATAGAAAATCAATGATGTACTTATACGATGTCGCGGTGGAATTATAAAAGGCGTAAACGGATGAAGCCGCGGCGGTTTAAAAGAAAGAGAAGAAAATTCAGATGGTGGAGTTCTCGGTCGAGTTCCGTCTGGACTGATATCGAGGATTGATTTTCTCAATAATAAGCGGAGATTTTTCATCTATGAATTCGCGTTCAGAAAGCGGTTCTCGTTAGTAAAATCTCTCGCTTGGCCTTCATTCGTTCATCGAGCTATGAGCTCGCGATCGCGTGCACTACGTCAATGCTTTGTCCGCTTGCTTCTTCCGTTTCCGTAGCATTAATCGCGCGAAAAAGGTATATTAATAGGGTTTTCCCAATGGAACGTGAGTGGGAAATCGAATTGTTACAACACAAGGTGTCATTACGACAATTTAATTGTAATATAGCTGCATTGTCGTGATACACGGATATACGAGTCGCGATCATAGAGATGATGACGATGATGACGATAATGATAACAATGATGGCATAGCACGTGCGGGTCGCAAGGCCATGACACGCGATGATTGCCCGGAATAGAGCCGTTCTTTTTTTCTCCCTTATTTCGTAGTAATATTTACTCGCAAGGAACGATAATATCGCGCAGATACGCTTTCGGGCTATTTTTTCCTACCGCGAGTTCTAGACTATTATCATTAAGCGCGCATCACAATACGAGATAGAACGAGATACGGAGCGACGAGTTTCGGCTTGTGCCTGAAGGACAGAAGGCCTGGCTTCGTCGAGTTGTCGAGTGATGTCTGTCTCGATGTAAAAGACCGTATATAAAGAGAATAATTATCGCAGACACCTATTATACACCTCTATAGTCTATTTAATAATATTACTTATTGAATTGTCAATCTCATGTTCACCTTGTTTCATCGTTTTTAAATAGTTAATAAACGTTTTACCAATTTTACTACTGCGATCTATGCATCTCTAATCCTTTCCTGCTCTTCTTAAAACATTTTAATAAAACTATATTAACAATTGTACTGTGTGATAATTAATAAACACTTCGACTAAAAAAAGCAATTTAAAATATTACATATACGTATATAAATAAGAAAACTTGGTATATAATATCTTTAAATCTATTTCGGGCTAAAATTTAATAATATTACATCTTTCGCTATTGTATATAGAATCACAAATTTAATGTAAAATTTGTATAAAGTTGAAAAGAAATTTTTAAAAATACATTTAAAGAAAGTGTTGAAATAATCTTGTTACGTTTAACATAATTCTAAACGTTTTATGCTAGAAATGATCGGGAATCGTGAAGAGAAATGTAAAAATGTTTCGGTAAAAATACTTTTTTTTATTACATCGATAGGATATAACTCATTGTTATCAGCGAAAAAAAATCACAAATATTTTTTCCTTAGAAAGTCATTCGTCGAAGTGACTCGCTTATAACGGCTACGGTAAAGACAATAATAACGATAATTACTTTTTACACGAATCACAGTAAGACTCTAATTTGTTCGTCAACGTTATTTCGAACTAAACCTCTGAAATAAAATATATTTGTATATATATATTTATTTTTATATTTATATATTTATATACTCATCTTTATATATACTTATATTCATATATAACTTCTGTTTCTTTATCCGCATAAAAGCAGCAGCGTTTTAACACATTTAGAAGTTTTTTGAATATATAAATTACAAGAAGGACGACAGGGGAGAGGCGTTGTGTGAATGTTACACGACTAAGAAAATGTACATTCATCATTAACTACTTATGTATATATAGTACAATAAAAAAGCGTGTAGTCGTAGATGATAATAGTAATAATAATAGTAGTAATAGTAATAATGAAGTAATAGTAGTAGTAATAGAGTAGCGATATTCGCGGTAGTGATAGTAGCAGTAGTAGTAATAGTTCCGGTAATCGCAACATGAGAGAATATATACATACTTTATCATGTTATACAACGTGACTATTTCAGTTAATGCTTTACATTATACACAAATAATATGCACTAATATAAACAAATATTGTGGCCTACATCTTACGTTTTAACTACTTAAGAATAAAAGATACATGTGTATATATATATACACAATACGTACACCATTGTTTCCTATCATTAAAGAGAAATGTAAAGAGAAATGTCTTCCGCATTTCGCTCCTTTTTTATATTTCTATTTTCGTTTTTGCAGTTCTCTTTACTGAAAATATGTCAGTATGTGTATGTACAATTGGTAGTATAACTGCACCTCTCTGTTCATTCGCGTCAGCTAAATAAAATTATAAGAAGCCGCCTGAGCGTACGCAGATCGCATCGTGCGAAGTTGCATCGTATTAACATTAATTAGTATCACTCGATATTAATTCGATATTACAATTAATCGTCTCTCGCGTAACGAGCGAATCTTTCTTTTCAGCTAACTACTGTACACACAGTGGTGCGTTGCGTTCGTATATACGAATACGTTGCCTGTGATCGGTACACCGTCGAGTTATTTTTCAAGAATACACGTGGATTTTTCCCTGAGACTGATTATAACGTTTGAAACCTTTGTGCTATGCGGCGCCAAAAAAAAGGCGTATTACGGTATATCTTAAGCATTACAAACCAAGCTATTCCGCGCCTCTTCTCCTTCGCATCCCGTCCCGTAACGTCCGCATATACTAAATGTGTTCGTTTTCTCCTTTAAGATTAACATACAGGAACATCACGAGACGATAAGTACAATTGATCGAACTCTGGTTCTGTCAAGATTTAAAATAACACACCTCCCCCTGAAATACGCCTCCTAAATTGCTTCGATCGAACACAGCGTCGTTTCGGTGATCGAAACTCGCTATCTTATCTCTCTTTACAAATTGTCTCCGAATTTCATATTTCTGATTCATATTTCATATTTCACGATAAAAAATATGCGACTTTATTATTATTAAATATCTTCAATTTGAGCCTTCTCGTGATTCATTGTATTTTATTATATTTAATTGCATCCTCTCGTGGATATTACTCTACAAGAAATTCTTTTTTCTATTTTAGAGTTGTTTTCTTAGCGAGTATCTGGAATCGCCGATACGATGCATTAATATTATCCCGACACATCGCGAAAACCGAAGTGACTCGAAGACAAAATGTAAAAAAGAAAATACATTATTGCACAGTGAGCGTTGCTCGACGACATTCGGCCGAGAGAGATATAAACTCTCGAAATAATTTCCTAGATCTTCTCTACACTTCTAGAAACAATGTATGATCAATGCACCTAGGCAATTAACAAAAACGAAAACGTTATTTCGCGAATTGCACTTCCCATATCGTAAGAATTGAGCCATTAATACCCGCTGAGTCCATCTTTCATTCGAATTATAATTAATTGCTATACTGGAACTATACGAAAAAAACGAATAGCTTCTTATAGAAATTAAAGATTGAAACTAAAAATAGAACTAGATATGACAAGATATACGCACTTTCATGTGTGACAGTATCAACTTGTCTCTTCAACGGATGAAATATTAATTCTGGATGCAATAAATTGCAACTCAATTCAATTTTTCAAGCACCTATTCCCAATGATCAATTAACACATTGCATAAATATAACGCACGACATATACAATCCTCCCACAACATAAAGAAAAACAAAAATGAGACTACGATGTGGTAACGTGATCATCTGCGAGAACGATTTAGATTATATTACGCTTTTAATTTTCATCCTCGTTATCTAACAATGCGTTCTATAATTGTAACTCAAAAGGAAAAACCAACGCACACAAGCGCGTTAGCAAATGTTCCGATTCCACAAATCTCTGGGTGAAGTCGTCCTTTAAAAAAAGAGAACTTCCTAAAGCCATGTGCAAGATAAAAATATATCTGGTACGACACAGCTATGTGTATTTTTGCGCATTCCTAAGATAATTTATTATTATTTACATTATATCATTATTTTATATTATTACTATTCCGCGAGACTCTCTCTTGGTTCGACATTCGAAAAAAAGCTCTTTAAAAAGACTTTTTTCATTTGTCCACTGTCATCATCACTTAAAGAACATTTCCCTCTTTTTTTTATTCGCCTAAAAGCATTACATTAACAAACTTCTGATTATTTAATCAGTCCTTAAGAAAATTAATAAAATATCCTCGTTCTATGGATATATGCGTATATTACGTATATCCCAATTAAATACTGTTATATAATGTCACAGGTAGCTGTTTTCGTTATCTCCATATTATTAGCTGCGCATTAGATATTAGATCGTTCCATTTATCATATTTGCAATGATTATATGCTTCGAAATTTATGATTTCGCATCATACTTTCGGCCAAATAACCGGTCACCTTCTTATTCTATATCGCGCAAAAGACATTAACAGGAGTGTTTGATCGACAAATCCATTAGTTGACGCTCGAAACCAGAAACGGAACCGTTATATATGTTTTCTATTACTTTACTCAAGTTCCATTTCATTATATTGTATATTATAAAATACAAATCGAGAAAAGAAAATCAATTATGAGTATCGATCAGTTTAAAGCGTAAGATAAACCGAGAAGAAATAAAGGATTTTTTTAGACATGCGTAAAACCACCAATCATTATTGTAAGATTCTTGCGACATATTGCAGGAACTTGCACTTCTTCTTTTTCTTAACACATCTAAGTTCTTTATTAGAATTTTCTGCTCTTTGTAATATCCACATTCAAGAGGAACCCTTAGCTCTCGAGTCACAACTTTCACAATTATTGTTCAGTTTGGGTACATCAGTTACTATAGAATTAACCATTAGAATTTTTATTACGTGTCTCTTGTCGCTTCCTTCCCTGTTGTCGTTGGCGTTTTACGCTAGCAGTTGTGGTGCTACCTTTACCTTCGACTTTCTTATGATGTTCCTTGGTCAGAATCGAGGTCGATGGTTTTGATATCTGGGGAGATGATTGCCCCAGAGATGCCTCCTGTCACCTGAGATTAATCAACACCTTTTCCACGTTTAGCAGGGACTTCACCTTGTCGTTGTATTTGATGAGCGTGACTTTGGAACCACGCACATTGATTCTTTCGCCACCGCTTAATAGATGACAACAACGTGTCTGCTCCAGGAAATCCGGCAGCTTTAGTTCGCGCATGACGTCGCGATGCGCAATTGCAGGCGGCCCGGAGTGGGCCTTTGGATTAATTTGACGGAGAAGAGCTTCGCGACTCTTTATTCGCA